TAATATATATATATATATATATATTCACAGTCATGTGAAGAAGTTAGGACACTATTGAATTCCATGGTTTTCCTTATCAGGACATATAACTGGTTCTTAAAATTTGGACAATAAAACCTCAGATGAACAACAACACATGATATATTGCACTGTGTCATTGTTTATTTAACAAAAATAAAGCCAAAATGGAAAAGCCATGGGTGACAAAATTAGGACACTAATAACACTTTTTTTTTTTTTTTGCATTCCCATTTGCTTAAATAGCAAAAGAAAAAAATCTAATGTGCTGTATTCAAAAATAAGAAAGACCCTCACAGCAGTGTTAACTATTTTTTGTAATTGAGGAAAGGTAATATAACAATAAATGTTATAGATGTGAATTATATTTCTTAAAAATGAATACAGGGAACTACCACTTTTGTTTATCAGCCAGGCACAGTTAATGGGCAATTATAGTAGTCTCAAAATGGTCAGATATTGGGAAGTAAATGAAATAAAATCTCTAAAAATGTCACATTTAACATCATTATTACAGAGTGTACAGTATACACACAGATAAATGACAAATATGTTTATTAAACAGTTACTACAAATGGTCTTATCAAATGTGTGTGTGTAAATAGTGTATGTAACAGTACAGTGTGTCAAAGAAAAACACTGTTTCTTTACTCTCTTCTCAGGTGTTTATGGTCTTGACCGTGCAGCTGTTGGTCACCTTCTCTTTTGTTGCCGTTTTCACCTTTGCAACTGACGTCAAAGTGTTTGTACGGAGAAATCAGTGGACATACTATGTCTCCTATGCTGTCTTCTTTGTTTCACTGATCGTTCTCAGCTGCTGTGGAGAGTTTCGCCGCAAACACCCATGGAACCTGGTGGCACTGGTACAACTGCCTATATTTACACATGTTTTTATTCTATGTATTCTATGTTCTAGTTTTTATATGATTTAATATGATTTGCAAACTGGAAAAATTAGTTGTTTGCATTATGTTAAATATTTTTGTTAAATGTTTTAGTATATAGCTAACTGTATTTCTTCGTTCTCAGTCCATCCTGACCCTGAGTCTGTCCTATATGGTTGGAATGGTCGCCAGCTACTATGATACAGATGCAGTTATCATGGCAGTGGGCATCACTGCGGTGGTCTGCTTCACAGTTGTGCTTTTCTCATTGCAGGTTTGTTTGCTCACTGTAGCAGTCTCATAGTTTTTCTTCTTTTTGTTTTATTGTATCGTATTTTATTGTATTCACACTTTGTTACCAAACAACATCTCAAGTTTATAATGACAGCATGGCAGGATTTCATAGTGTAGTTCACGGTTGTGGACCTTCCCATTCAACTATTGCAGAATTACTTTCCGAACGTTTGAACTAGGAGGTTTTATCGAGTGTCTTCCATGCATCCTTTGTATGCGGTAACCACCACTGATTGTCATTATCCTTCTCTTTTTCAAAAATAGAGCAAATATGACTTCACTTCCTGCTGGGGTGTTCTTTTTGTCTGTCTGATTGTCCTTCTCCTGGCCTCTTTCCTCTGCATCTTCATCCAAAACAAAATTCTCCACATCGTCTACGCCTCGCTCGGGGCCCTGCTGTTCACTTGTGTAAGTAAAACCATCAATACCTTAATATCCTTTTAAAAAAAAATTTTCACGTAAATGTATACTTCTGTGTTACTAAGACTGTTAAATTTGTCAGACCTTTTTTTCTTCAATCTATTCTTTACTTGCGTTATTGATAACCTTTAAAACCTTTGGCATTCTAGCTGTCAATTTATTGAAAAGAAATGTTGAGTTGTACATCTGATCTTCTCTCTCTGGTTAGATTTAGTTTACTTTTTTCTTCTTTTTCTTCTTTCATCTCTTCAGATATTTCGGCTTACTCACTTTAGAAACAAAATACTTCTTAGACTTTAGAAAAGACATTGTATTGTGACTTCCACACTTCATTAAACTACACTGCTGTTTTCAACAAGATAATAAAACAGAAGTCTGGACTAATGGCTGGAGTGGTGCTTTGCTATTGCACTTTAAGATTAAATAACCATTAGATTAAGAAAAATAAGAAATAGATAAGATTATTAGGGTTTGGACAGTTTGTTTGATCAATAGCATGCTGCATTGGCGAACATATATCTTTCAAAAGTGGAAACCTGCACTTTGCTATTATAGTTTAATTGTTTGCTATTAAAGTTATCGTCCTTTGTCAAAACGGTGTAAGAATTATGTCTTTGCTGTGAGGTACATGTAAAGCGTTTCACCATCTGTCTTAAACTGGGTCACCAAATTTGTGCCCTTTCGAAATCTCCAATTTTCCAGTCTGACTGGCTGTATAAAATCATATGTCTTTTGGAGCAGTGAGATTAAGCTGTTGGAACATCAGGAAATTACTGTAGAGTTCTTGGATAAATCCTTCAGGAAATTATGTTGTGCAGTACCATTCAAAATTTGGATTGGTAAGGTTTTTTTTGAATTTTTTTTTTATGTTTTTGAAAGAAATCTCTTATGCTCACCAAGACTGCATTTATTTGATCAAAAATACAGTAAGGACAGTAATATTGTGAAATATTATTGTAATTTAATATAACCTTTTTCTATTTGAATATATTTTAAAGTGTTAATTATTGCTGTGATGGCAAAGCTGAATTCAGCAGCTGAATGATCCTTCAGAAATCATTCTAATATGCTGATTTGGAGATTTCTTATTATAATCAATCTTAAAAACAGCTGTGGTGCTTTTCATACATTGATACATTTTTTCAGGATTCTTTGATCAAGAGAAAGCTCCAAAGAACAGACTGACTGCAAACTTTTAAACAGAATAGTGTAACTATTGCAGTAAAGCAGGATACAAACCCAGTGAACTTCATGTAGTATTTGCTGATGATTTGAGAACACACAATTTTGTAGTTTCTGAATAAAACATCAGTGGTGCTGCTAGGCCCAGTGCATTGTGCTAGGTGATTGCTTATAAGCTTAAAGTGTTAAAAGAGCCCCTCACCAAGTCTTTATGATATTCTAGTCCCTAAATATTATTTGAATCACTCCTTTGATGTAAGTCTATGAGATTTTTTTAATCACCCACAAGGTAAAAATTGTATATAATAGCACACATCTTTAAAAAAACGAAGAAAAGGAAAAGATTAATATCATTTTCAATCTCTGTATCAGTTCAGCTTGCTTTATTTCCCCAAGCACAACATGAATGCGATACTCAGTGCTTGTTTGTTCTTTCACAGTTCCTAGCTGTGGACACCCAGCTTCTCCTGGGCAACAAGAAGATGGCCATTAGCCCAGAGGAGTACGTCTATGCAGCTCTTAACCTCTACACCGACATCATCAACATCTTCCTTTACATCCTGGCCATCGTGGGTCGCACCAGGGAATGAGTGTGCCCCCTTCCTGTAAGAAGAGAAAAGTGCAGTCCACTTTACACGGAATGATGTACCAACTCACATTTCTTCACCTTTCCTCATATTCTTAATTTATTTGTCTTTCACATTCCCTGTATGTCAACATGTACAGGCTGATCAAGCCATAAGCTCTTTGTCCTTTTCTGGGCAAAATTAGAAATCAGAAAATTATTTAAGAACCCGTTTGAATGTAGTTCCTCTACATCGCTCGCTCTGTCCTTGTTAAAACCGCTTCTGGTTCTGGAGATGTATAACGTGATATGACTCAACAGTTGCATCCAAACGGCATGGCAGAAATTTCACTCGACTAACTTTTGCATCTTTGCTCTCTGGTTGATCGAGAGGCAGAAAGAAAGAGCAGATATCAATGAGCGGAGATTTGTTTGTCAGAGTAACGAACATTACTGATGCTAATGTGCTCCACTAGTCAAAAAATAAAGTCTCTGCATGATAGTCTAACACAGCGAAGAATGTCAGACAGACATCGATACTTCTCCAAACATTTGCATATATATACAGTAGCTGTAAATAGTCAAATAAAGCTCAAACCCCTCTAGTTCTAGGCATGAATATCTGAATATCTGTCTGTGCTGCTCACTAATGTGTGCGTTTCTATAACATTGCTGCTTTGCAACGTAATACCACCAATATATACACTCCAAGATGACAAACGTTTGTTCAGTTGACTTATCTACAGTATAACTATGAGAAGTAAAATAAAGCCTGTGTATAATAACTTTTAATTTTTTATTTTTGAGAGGAAGGTGAGCTTGTGTGGTTGTCCTGACTATTAAATAGTTCCAAAGGTCAGTATTTGAGGCTCAAACACTACATTACATAACTCTTTTCTCTTTCATGCTGACTACTTTACTTTTTTTTTTATTAAATAGATCATTTTGTTGTTTTGTTTGTGTATGTGTGTGTGTGATTGAGGGAAAGATATGTAATTCCCTTATTTTAACAAATGTGAATGGAATATTGGATTATTTGATGCTTTTGGAAATATCACTAGTTGCACGTTACCTTGCAAAAATGTTCCATGTGCTGGACAATAACAGGATATTTCTAGGATAATTCTTGCATTTGATGTTTTTGTGGTTATTTATAAGTTATTTATTAAAATGCCAGAGGAAGTCTGCTGGGTAATGGACGAATTGTCATGAACATGGTAATATGGTTCTTTTTAAATTGTCCTAGAAATTTAAGAATTTAAAAACACTAAACATTGACCGGCATTTATTTAAGCGTATTAGGGCTAATTGCAGTATGTAAAGACAGATTTCTGTTAATTAAAATTGTTTACTAATGAATATTCACTCCAGATGATTGCAGATGTGAATGTACAATGGTTTCACAGCTAATTAATTAACTTGTAACATTCACTGAAATGTCATGTACCCAGCTGAAATCTCCTACCTTGCATGTGGCGCTATTGAACATTGAACTGGCTGTGAAAGGCATGGGTTAAGAAAATATTGACTTGGGTGGCATAAACCTTCTTTTGTTTATTTGAGTAAAATATTTGTCTTTATTACTAACTTCTGCATAAGTAAAGCTATAGTGGATTGAGGTGTGTAGAGTGTGTTTGGGCTTTGTAGATCTCTTTGCACTGTATATTTGCATTAGACTAAAAGTTCCTCTGCAGCCCGTTTGCTTTTCATTACAAAAATAAAATTAGAGGAAAATACAGCTTGAAATGGTCATTTGTTGTACTTTTAGTGACTGGAGTAGATTGCAAATCATACATGAAATGTATCATGACATGAATTGTTGAAAATTGTTATGAGACCAATTTTAAATGAATCAGTATCTTGATCATTTGAGTGAATCACTCAAAGACAGGTGCTCGTTTCATTCCATGTCTATTAATACATTGATAAAATTAGTCTTCACTATCAGAAAAAAAAAAAAAGGTTCAAAATCTACACAAAACCTTTTGGGTACTAATATGTATGGACTCTTTAGGTACAAACGTGTATCTTTTGAAGAGGTACTGCCCCAGTGACCACTTTTGTACCTTATTTTCTGAGTGTTGTGTATGGAAAAATATGTAAAGCTGACTCTAGTATTTGTGATTTATTAGTATTTGTTGTTCAGTCATGACCTAACGTAATAAGATAAGAAATAAAGTGTCACGAAGGAAGAGTAACATTACAACTGTTTATCTCATCATAATTATGATCATTTAAAAAACAGATTTTTCAGTTTTAATAGTCCTCACTACCAAAACTTTGTTTAGAAAATTTGAAGTTGTTTACTTTCATATATTGTATTATATGACTGTAAACATGAATCTGCAAAAGTCTTTGCCTCTGAAAGAGTCATAAATAAATAAACACCTGCAATTTTGGTCAAAAACAACAAGCATATGGTATGTATTTTTAGGGAGGAAATGCTCCAAAAATCCACAAAGGGGTCCTCTAGTGAGAGTGGCAGGTTTCGTATTGGAATCCAAATCATAGACAATATGATAAACTTAATTGTAACTTATCTATGAAATGTACCTTTTACTCAAATCAAGTGTAGTTTTAATGTTGTGATCTGAGATTAATCATTCACTTCCTGTGGCTGTTCTTAGTTAAAAATAGTTATTCAAAATGGTTGAAAATCCCTTCAAACATGTTTTCATATTGAACATTTGAACATTAACCCCTTAACTGTCACTCACATTTTTGAACATAGACATGAAAGAGCATGATCCAAACTTACATTTTTATAATTCATGAACGAAAACATTTTGTAACATATTGATGTACCATTTTCATGGTAATGCAATGTTTGATTTTAAAATGGGTTTCAAAGGAAGAATTTTGAGATTTAAAGTTTTCAATTGATATATAATTTCTGATGATTTCTAAAGTGTGATGGAGAAAAAGGCAACAAAGAAGACTTTTTTGACAAAGGTCAGAACTCCTATGTTATGTAGATTTTTGAGGTGCACTCGTCATAAATTAATCTATTACTTTTCCTACATCATTTTTAACAAAAACATTGGTAAAATATCTATTTAGGAGTCTTAGACCTTTCCAACGATATATAGTTTGTCATGATTAGATTAGGATTTAATTGTAATATAGTGAAGTAAACTTAGGCGTCCCACAGAGGGGACGGGTGACAGTTAAAGGGTTAAACACGTTTTATGTGTTAATATTCAGGAAACTTGCATGGATCTTTCAACTTTTAGTTTGCACAGTTTTTTTTATTTGTACACAGAATTGTGCAGTAGGTTAAAGGTGAAGAGGATGTTTTGGGAAGGGACAATGATCTTCATTCAGAGGAGCAGTAGTGGTGGTTGTGCTTGTTGATCAACAAGTGCTTCAGTTTTGGATCGTTCCTGTAGCGTTCAAGCAGCAACTCTTTTTCTCTTCGCTGTTTCTCCTTCCGTATTTTGTTCTCCTCCTTTTTCTTGGCCTTCTCTTCTGCCCAGGTGAACAGAAAAAGTGACACTTTTCTTTTGCTCTTTGGCTCTTGCTGGACATTCACATTGTGCTGGGTCTCATTTTTGGGACCTTCAGGAGAGGTTACACAGAACAGCTTCATCATGTGCTCATCCATCTCCTTGTTTTTCTGAGAGGCGTCATCCAAATGCCCTTCTATGGCCTTGGAGTCTCCCATTTCATCAGGATTATCTTTCACTTCCTCAAATCCCTGGACCCTCACCACTTCACTCGACCACACGTCCTCCAGCACCTCGCAGTCACTCTCCAACCAAGCTATCATCTGTCTCGGTTTCATTTCAGCCCCCAGCAGTCGGGGGCTTTCAGACTTGGGTAAGTCACAGGCCTGAAAGGTCTTCCCTGTGTACTCCACATACTCGGTCTCCTCATCCTCTATGTCGATGAGCATGAGTTGTGGAGGCGGCTCAAACAGGGAAGAAGTGTACGGCTGAGGCTTCAGCGGGCTGGGAGGACACACTTGAGTTGAAGAACGCTGCAGATCAACAACTTCATCAGATTCAGGAGTGGGGCTCGGAGGAACCACCAGTTGTCTGGGAGGACTCACTTGGGAGCGTCGGAGGGAAAACAGTTCATCATGTGCTGGAGTGGGATGTGGAGGAACCACTTGAAGAGGAGAACATGGCAGGGACACTTCCTCTGGTGCAGGAGCTGGCTTTTGAGGATGTATGGGCGGTCTGGTCACTGGCGGCAGGGGCTTGAAGCGAACAGTTGGTAGAGTAAGGTCTTTGAAGACACTTGGAAGCACTGGAAGTTCTCCTTCTATTGGCTTCAAGAATGAAGATCTCACTGCAGGACTGACTAGAGTTTGCTGAGGTTTGACCTCCACAAGAAATGGAGTAGGCTCAGTGGTCTTTTGTTCCTTCAGTTTTCTCTTCTCCTCTCTATGCTCACTTCCTCCCTCCATCAAATTTTCTAGACTCTGCATCTCTCTGAATTTGGCAGACTCTCTTTTTTTCTGCGGCACATGTCCTCTATCCTTTATCTTTTCAAGGCTAAGTGTCTCTCTTCCTTTTTCAGCCTTGTCTTTATGACTTCCTCCCTCATTCATCTCTCACCTGTCTTTCCTTCTCTTTCTTTCCATACTGTAAAAACCAATGTTTCAAGTTCGTAAATAAAGATTATTGTAGTAAATTATACAAGACAATACTATTTCAGTCTTTCTATTTTTAAAATTTCACATTTAATTCAATGTGTTGATGTTTCTTTGTAATTAATTGTGAAATTTACTAGCAATTACTGAGTGAAACTTGATTCTAAACCAATTTTTTTTTCCAGTGCAAGCTGGTACTTCTCAGCTAAGTTACCTGGCGGCGTCTCCTCCTGCACTTCCTGTTTTTGGCAGTGAAGTGGAAGGCCTCACTCTCACCCGCCTTCGTCAGTGATGCCTCTGGAAGTTTCTCTAGTGCCACTCGTTCTTGCGCTGCACATTGCTGTGCCCTCAAAGGTGTCTCCCTTCTGCGCAAGGAGTGAGCAAAACGCTCAAAAAGTTGTCTAAATACACTGCTAAACAGTGCCATTGTGGACACTGAATGCTGCAAGTGAATTCAATATTTGTCGTCAGTATCTGCAGAAAGTCACGAAAGTAGCTTTCGATCTTTTCACTCCTAACACACCAACAGAAGACAATTAGTCAGAACAGCAGTTTAGAGCTGCCAGAACGGAATCTCCATTATGATGTCACAACAGTGAGCTGAACCCTGAGAACTCGGAACTATATGAGCAGCTCAGGAGAGAAGCAGTAAATACATCAACACTAGTGGCTCCATATTAAATACTGACTGTGTCCTAACAAGTTTCCCAAACTCTTCTCCTGTCCCTGAAAATTAAAAGATAATAAAAAAACTGATCACGTTTAAAAGACAATTATAATTTAGAAAGGTACAGGCCAGATTGGACTGAAATTAAACATTTAAACAAATAATCTAACAGGCCTGTAAAACATTTCACCCTGCTTTAAACTTATAATAATAATAATAACAACAGCAACCAAAGTTGTTAAACTTGTAACTTTTTAAAATTAATTTAACTTTATTTATTTACTTTATTAATTTTTAAATTATGTTACATAGTCGATGTTACAGTTAGACTGGTTTTGGTTGGTTTTGTTTTAGCACTAGCTGAAAAATCAGCTTAAACCACAGTGACCAGTGTGTACATTTTAAACAATAAACAATTTAAACAATAAAGTAAGATTTGTAAACGATTTTTAAGTCTCTTATGCTTACCAAGGCTTAATTTATTTAATCAAAAATACATTAGAAACTGAAATATTGTGAAATATTACATTTATAAAAAATTGTTTTTAATATATTTTAAAAAGTACTCCTGTGATTGCAAAGCTGAATTTTCTGCAGCCATTACTGCTGACGTTTATTTCTAAAAACGTTTATCATTATCAATGTTGAACATATTTCTTCTGCTTATTTCTTTCTTTTCCTTTTTTTTTTTTTTTTTTTGCATTATGCTGTGCTGGTGTCTTCATCTAAGAGTCTCTGACTGTAATAAATTAGTGCCTGATCCCCTCTGTATTCCCCGAAAAACTATATATCCCATCAATTAATCTCATATACCATAGTTTCTATTTTATTAATACATGATTGCAGTTTGAAACAGAGCTAGACTGCATGCCCTAAACTGCTGTCTGTGTGTCATCGCTAAGGTTTGTAACAGACTCACACATGCGCGCGGTGAGACTGCGCATGCTCACTGTGCGCTCTGTGGTAAACCAGGGAATGTGTAGCTAGCTTGAGGAGTTTTCAGCTTTAATATCCTCGACCCTCGGGTGCCTGGTATAGGCAAGGAGCCTTTTCTACCCAATTCTTAATTGTAATTGAAAATGTCCGTGTTCTCGGAGCCTGCTTTGGAGAAGAAATTATCAGAACTGAGTAACTCCCAGCAGAGCGTGCAGACCCTTTCACTGTGGCTCATCCACCACAGAAAACACTCCAAAACCATCGTCAAAGTCTGGTATAACGAGCTGAAGAAAGGTAAGGAGAGGTACATTATACCTCAAACACCTAGAATAGCTTTACAATGCGAGGTTATGTTATGTTTTGTCGTTTTGAAATAAAATTAAACAAGACATGTAGCAAACAAGCTAATCATAGGTTCCCTTATAAGCTAGCAGCTTAGCTCATTTAGCAGTTAACGTACAAGTTTTGGTTCCTTCACGTATTCTGCAGCTTACTTTGCAGGTTATTATTTAGACAAATACTCAATTCCTTTTTTTTTTTTTTTTGTTCTTTATTTTCTTTATCAGTGAACAATACCAGTCTGTATGAAAATTGCGGATATTGAGACACTCAGCAACATGTGTTTTTAGTCAACTCAGCTTAAAGTTTCACTACAGCATATACGATTTTGGTGAATCCCAGAGGAAATATTCAATATAATATCTACATTAGATATGTTATGATCTATTTCCCAGAGTTGTTGATGCTCCCACTGACCCTGGCAGCCATTTTGAAGCATATACTCATCTGTTTCCATACTAGATTCAGTTTTAGGCAATATTTGGGGGGTTTAGGCCATAGCCTAATGTTTTTTTTTAATTATTGTTTATTTTTGAAAATTCCAGTAAACATGGCAAGATGCAATGATTCTACATGTACCCAGACCCCTTTACTCCCCTGCCCTGGCACATGTGGTCTGTGTTGGGATGAGATCAGACTTGTCTGATCTAACATAGGGTGTGCTTTATAAAAAGTGTAGTTGATCCCAAAGTCTAGTTTAGGATCAACTAGATCCCCCTCTTTGAATGGCAAGTACTGGGTTTTTATTTTATTGAGCTAAAAAAAAGTTTAATAGTTTTGGGTGGCCAAAATCAGTGACAGAAATAGTGATGTTTAATTAGCGCTTCTCTGGTGAGGCGTTTCACATGCTACTATCTATTTCATGCATGCATGGATGATGCTAGAATAGCTCACATTTGTTTGGCCCGCTGCTGAAGAACTTGGTTTTATTTATTACTTGACAACACGCCACCCTGAACAGCACACCTTAATTACCCAATTACCTACCTTTAATTAAGCTTTATTTCTCTTTTTTTTTTTTTTTGCTTTTGTTTTAAGAAATGTATTTTTATGCAACAATATTTACCAGTTAGTGGCTTTAGATTTCATTGCTTAATCATTGCCTATTCCAATATTATGTTGCCACTTGCCACAGATTTTTGCATCTATTTATATAGAGATACTTAACAGAAATTGCTTATGAACAATTTTTAAGGCTGTCCGTTGCTAGTATTGTCACAGGTCTGCACAGTCCTCTTTTATCTTCTCACAGACATGATAAACATTCACTTAGTCTGATCCTGCCTAACTGCTGGTGCCATTGAAGGCTTATTATAATGTTGCACCTTTGTGATAATGACACAATGTGCTGTAGGAGTCTAGATTCTTTGATCAGCTCTCTTGTATTTATCTCCAACAGACTGCATGCGAACATCATGTTAAGGTGTACAATACATTTATTGACCTTAGGGCTCAATCTAGGGCTCAAGCTTATAGTAATATGATTAATTTTGTGTTTGGAAAACTGGTCTCTAGTAATTGTCATGTGTTTGACTTGTTGCACAGTGATGTCATTGCAAGTACTTAGCAATGCAGTTTCGTTTACTTCAGTTTGCCCCAGTCAGAGTAGATGCAATACTTGATTGACAGCCACAGGCTCAGCACCCACCTACTTCCACTCACTACTACGAATCTACATCCCCTCCAGAAGTCTGAGATCCGTTAGTGAGCGACGCCTCGTGGTACCATCACAGAGAGGCTCAAAATCACTTTCCAGAACATTCTCGTTCATCGTTCCTGGCTGGTGGAACGATCTTCCCACCCCTATCCGGAATGCTGAATCCCTGACAATTTTCAAGCGACAGCTGAAAACTCATCTCTTTCGACACTACTTGACTTCATCCTAAAAAAAAAAAAAAAAACGTTTGTTTTTCTCTTTATTTATTCCCTCCCTTTCTAGCTTGTACTTATTTGAACAAATGCCTGAAACTTGGTATTACGAGCACTTCCTGTGTCTGTTTGCCTCTTTAAGAAGAATCGCTTTATGTATTCCCCAATTGTAAGTCGCTTTGGATAAAAGCGTCTGCAAAATGACTAAATGTAAAATGTAAATGACATAATAAATGCAAGTTATAAAGCTGCTGTGTAGATGAAGTGATTTTAATCTGCCCTTTAGAAATGGTGCCATCTTTCTATATGAAAATGTATAATTTAATTAGAGTTTCTTAAGAAGTGTTGAGTCATTTTTATTTTGACCTAGTTAGTGGTTGGTTAGGACAACAATGAGGGCTTGGGATTACTGTGTGGGCTAGCAGTGCTAAGATTAATTCATAGGATTTCATGCCGTCTCCGAGTGATTACCGTGCGTTCTTGGTTTTATGGTTTAACCTAGTTGCTTGGGATTGATCTCCTTTTAGGCTAATGGGATAATATTACAGCTTCAGAATAACATCATCAAGTGCAGACTGTTTGAATTCAGTGTTGTGCTTTTGAATTAGGTTTGTTTTCATGAGTTTTCATAATTTTAAAGTTATTACATGGCCTTTATTTCTAAATACTGTGCATTTGCTTGCAGGTGGGATTGGATTATTGGTGCATTGCTTCAGTGGTGGTAATAAAAAAAACAGTGCTATCTTTAGATCATTTCTCCTGAGATCTCATTGTGTGGATAGTGAAGGTGTAGTTTCCATAGCAGTTTTTTTGTTCAGGAGGAATCCATAACAAGCATTTCTCGCTTGTTATGGATTCTACATGCTTTTGTTGCTTAGTACATATTTTAATTGCTATTCAGTTACTTCAAATATATTATTTTACTCTCAACATTCAAAACCAATAGTAGAAATTATTTAATTGGTTTAATTAAGAAGCACATGCCTTTTCTTTTAGACCACAAATATTTAAAGAATAAGAAATGTTTTTTTCCCCTCTTTCTCTCTGTGCAGCCCAGGTGTCCCGTAAGCTGACTTTCCTGTATCTTGCTAATGATGTCATACAGAATAGCAAGAGGAAAGGACCAGAGTTCACTCAAGAGTTTTCCCCAGTTATTGTTGATGCTTTCAAACATGTTTCCAGGTGAGTTAGACCAGTGTATTTGGGCTGTTTAGCTCCTATGTAAATTGCAATTGTTATATTTTCTTATTTAGTGGGTTTAGTACACATACACACACAATATTGACAAAAGTACTGGGACACTTTTAATGAACAGGTTTGACTACTTTAGTAATTTCCATGAGTAAAAATCTTAATATTAAAGCATATAATGATATTCTATTCTAGGGAATTTTGGACACGACCCTTTTTTATTCTAACATGACAATGCCTCTTTGTATAAGGCAAGGTTAAAAAATAAATGATTGATTCAGTCAGTGTGGAAGATCTTGACTGGTCTGCAGTAGTGTTGTCAAAAGACCCGGTATTTCGGTACCAAGTCGGTACTAAAAAAATGAAAACGTTACGGTACCAGGTTTTTTTAAGTACCGGTGGTACCGAGTACCCGGTCAACCCGGTTCTTGATGCGCTATCCGCAAGCTATCCTCTTCCAGTGTTGCCAAGTCGGCGGTTTTCCCGCGGAATTGGGCTGCTTTAACACTGTTGCCGAATGTTTTTGTGTTTTGCTTTGGTACCGAAATTGGTACCGAGAACCGTGGATTTTCACTGGTATTGGTACCGAATACTGAAATTTTGGTACTGTGACAACACTAGTCTGCAGAAAGCAAAGTCCTAATCCAAGCTGAACACCTCTGGTGTGACTTTAAATGCAAACCTTGGCTTTAAAAGCCAAAAACTCCACCAAACACCAATGACTTGTACATATGGACAAGAGTATTGGGATACCCCTTTCTACAGAACAGAAAAAGGCACTTCCAAAACTGTGGCAACAAAGATGGAAACACAATTCATGTATGTAAAAATTGTATTTCCAGTTTTGGAAGTGTCTAAAATAACTGTACCCATATGTACCAGTCATTGGTGTTTGCATGTGTATACAGTTTTATGCACAAGTTTGGGCACCCCTCTGAGGCTGCATAATAATTTGCTCTGTCTTTTTAAGAAAAGATCGTAGTGATATGCCATTCAGTTTTTAGAGAAAGATGGATAATGTGATTGTTTTTCAGACAAAAATTCTTAGTGTAGCAGTTTTGAGATGTATGAAATAAAATCAAATGTGAAAAATAGAGTGCAGGGAGTTTGGCCTCCCTTTCAGTTGTGGTGATTTGAAATATCTGTGAATATCTGTAGTCAATTAATGCTGATTGATTGCAATTCAAAATTGATTTGATTGGTTCAATAAACATTAGACTGAAAATACAGGTTCAACAAATAATGAAAAAGGTAGCTCTTTTGAAAAATAAAAATAGAAAAATATTAATTAAAATATTAAAAAATAATAATGAAAAATATTCAAGTTAGCTAATTGCTAGTTGTTCTTCTCTTTGAATTTCTACTGGAAAGTAGCAACATGGGAACCTCAAAAAACTCTCTAAAGACTTAAAAACTAGGATAATTTCTCAATATCAATTAGGAGAAGTCAAGTCAAGTCAAGTCACCTTTATTTATATAGCGCTTTTAACAATACAGATTGTGTCAAAGCAACTGAACAAATTAGGAGAAGGATACAAAAGTTATCTCAAAGGTTTAAGGTCTCTGTCTCCACAGAAGGAAATATGTGGTAGGCCAAGAAAAATATCTGAAAGGCGAAGAATGGTTAGAATGGTCACAGACAAACCACAGACCACCTCCAAAGAGCTCCAAGAACATCTTGCTGCGGATGGTGTCATTCTACATCGCTCCACGGTCCAGCGCACTTTGCACAAGTCACAGCTCAATGGAAGGGTGATGCGGAAAAACCTTTTCTGTGTACTGCCAACAAGCAGAGTCGTTTGAGGTATGCAAAGGCTCGTCTGGTTCATGTTCAAGAATCAGTCAAGAGGTTGAAGTTACAGGACAATGATCCAAAGCATTGTTCCAAATCTACCAAGGGATTCATGTACAGACACAGATACAGTGTTCTAGAATGGCCATCCCAGTCCCCAGACTTGAACATCATCGAAAATCTATAGAATGATTTAAAGCAGGCTGTCCATGCTCGGAAACTATAAAACCTGACTGAACTGGAGACATTTTGCAAGGAAGAATGGTCCAAAATACTTGAAGCCAGAATTCAGGGACTTATCAGTGGCTATTAGAAGTGTCTACAGGCTGTTATTTCAGCAAAAGGAGGCTCTACTAAATATTGATGTAATTATTCCATTGGGGTGGCCAAATTTTTGCACCTGTCTGTTTTTATGAATCACATTGCGTTGTTTCTGTTGATTCAATTGATTTCCATAAGGTATAAATTATATCCAAATGAAGTTGCTGCTACAAAAGCCCAGCAGTTTATAAACTAAAATTATGATAGATATATGATATCTATCCATCCATAAATCATTATATATATATATATTGCGCCATTACGCAAGATGGCGCCGATGGTGATGGCAGCCTCCGTGGTGTGCTCTGCAGTTGTGTTTGTGTTTTTGTTAGTTTGTCCTGTCTTTAGTTATATCCCTGTAATCAGTTTCACCAGAGACGAATTGCTGGACATCAACCGATATATTACCGGTTTTCGACTATTCTGATGTTTTGCTGGACATAGTAGTTGGCGGGCTTTTCAGCTGTTTCAGGCTTTCAGCTGTTCAGAGCGGACCGCGACGCAGAATCAACAGGGATATCTGTGAAGAAATGTGCATTCCTACCAGGACTCATCTAACTTAGAACAACGACAAACCATGGTTCACTGCAAAACTCAGACAGCTCCGTCAGGCCAAAGAAGATGCTTACAGGAAGGGGGACAATGTCTTGTATAAACAGGCCAAATACACACTGGAAAAGGAGATCAGAGTGGCAAAGAGGAATTATTCTGAAAAACTAAGGACTCAGTTCACTTCCAGCAACTCCGCGTCAGTGTGGAAAAGTCTGAAAGAGATCACCAACTACAAGACACCATCCCCCAGCACTGTGGAGAATCAACAGCTGGCAGACGATCTGAACGATTTTTACTGCAGGTTTGAAAAAACACCCCACACCCACCCTGAATACCTCTCCACACAACCATTCACACCTCCTGCAACCCCCATCTCCCCCACACCTGCACTTCAAATCAGTGAAGACGAGGTGCGCCAGGTCTTCCGGAAGCAGAAAAGGAAAAAAGCACCAGGCCCAGATTGTGTTACACCAGCCTGTCTGAAATCCTGTGCTGACCAGCTGGCCCCCATCTTCACACAGATCTTCAACAGATCACTGGAGCTGTGCAAATCTAACCTTTCATTGGAGAATAAGAATTTAAAATGGGGGGAAATATCATTATGAAATGAATGTTTTTTTTCTCAAATACACATTGTACACAATTACTGGTATCCCTAGAAATTCTTGTGAGTAAAATATATCTGAAATATGTTCCCATTCATATTCACAATTTTGAGCATACCAGGGTGATTATGAACATGAAATTATCCAGCCATGGCTTCCTGTTTCACATAAATATAAATAGGAGAGAAAACAAAGGCAAAATTCCAAATTAATCATCCATCACAATGAGAAAAACCAAAGAATATATTTCTGATGTGCAGCAAAAGATAATTGAGCTTCACAAATTAGAAGGTGGCTTTAAGAAAAGAGCTAGAGCAGTAAAAATTCCCATTTCCACCATCTGAGTTTCGGGGTCAGAAAAACGAAACAAAAAATTATCAAACAGCACCTACACCACATGTTGTTTGGGAGGGTTTCAAGAAAAAAATCAAGAAAAGAAAATGCTTTCACCAAAAATTAATCTCCAGCATATTCAGTTGTCAGACACGACTGGAACTTCAAATGGGACTGGCTTCTATGGTCAGATGTAACTAAAAAATTTGCTTTTTAGCAGCAAACCCTCAAGATGGGTTTGGTGCACACAGGGATAAAAAAAGTACCCCATGTGTACAATGAAATATACTGCTGTATTTTTAATGTTGTGGGCCTATATTTCTGCTGGAGGTCCTGGACATCTTGTTTAGACACATGGCATCTTTGATTCTATCAAATACCAACAGATAACAAAATTAAAATTGACTGACTCAATCATGTTAGAAATCTTATAATGGGCCATGTTTGGATCTTCCAACTAGACAATAATCCAAAAACAAACCTTAAAAACAACACAAAACCAAGCTTCTGCTATGGCCATTCCAGTTCACTGACCTGCACCTTATAGAAAATGAGTGTGGTGAACTGAAAAGGAGAAGCACCGACATGGAGCTGGGAATCTGAAGGGTCTGGAGAGATTCTGGATGAAGGAATGGTCCCTGATCTCTTGTCAGGTGCTCTCTAACCTCATCAGGCAATATAGGAGAAAACTCCTATACTATTTTGGCCATTATTAAATGGAGGTTTCAAAAAGTATTGAATAAAAGGGTACCAGTAATTGTGTCCAATGTGTATTAGAGAAAAACATTTATTTCATAATGAAATTTCCCCCCATTTTAAATTCTTATTCTCCAATGAAAGGTTACATTTTTGTGAATTTTTGTAATAAAAGATCAAAAGGATTAAAAATGCAGATTTATTTTCATAGCCTTCTTTGAACATATTTACCAAGGGTACCAACAAGTCTGACCATGTGTGTGTATATATATAAAAACACTCTAGTACAGTATTTTATTTTAACCTTCAAGTGAGTTTCTATTTGTTAAATACTTAAAATGTTAAATTTTTTTAGGCAAGTATAATTGGGTCTTAACTTGAACCCAGACACTGGAATCTTGTAGTTGTGTTGCTATGATTCTTCCTGTCCTAAAATTATATTTACCATGTTTTTATCTATCCTGTCCAGTGAAGGAGACGAGAGCTGTCAGAAACAGTTAGGTAGAGTTCTGTCCATCTGGCAGGAAAGAGCTGTCTATGAGAATGGCATACTGGACAAACTCTCTGATGTCCTACGTAAGTAAACCACCGCAAGGTCACACTGATTTCAAAGTTTATTGCGAGTACAGTATAGTCGCTCAGAGAGACTCAGTAGTTTGTTTTGATAAGTGTCATGTGAAGTCTTTGTTTAGAGTGAGGACGCCTTTGTTGAAGTATAGCATGTAGAATGTCTCCTCATGTTCTCCTTACAGAGGTAGAAAAGAAGGCCAAAAAAAGGCCTTATGAGGAGATTAAGGTGAACGATGATGACTTCGCCTCCCAAAGCTCCCCTGCTGAACCTCCACAGGTATGAAAGAATGGTCTTACATCATGCATATTTACCTATAAACTGACCTCAAGTCAGTTTAGTCTTCCATGTCATGACTTGTTTTGTATATCTTAGACTGCTGATCTGATCCGAGCACTACAGGAGCTTGAGAACGCAGCCTCCAGCGATGCAGCTCTCCGCCAGAGGATCTCTGCTTTACCCCCAGAGGTGCAGGACACCACCCTATTGCACAAAGTTACAGGTGAGAACACCCATGCAACCTTCCTTGTCAGTAGTAAGTAAATGCATCAGAAATAGAATTAAATAATCAAATTTTTAATTGATCATTTGTGGTGTCGGCACATCTAGAGCACAGATTGTAATCGCTCAATTGGAATAGAGCACTAAAACAGATCATATGTAGTTAACCATTCTGACTGTCTACGTCTGTCCGAATGTGTTTTTTTCAGATAAAGAGTCAGGGGGGCGTCTTTCTCGGTTGGTGGAAGAGGCCTGCATGCTTCTAGCTGACTACAGTGGGCGGCTGGCAGCAGAGATTGATGATCGGCGGCAACTCACACGCACTCTTGCTGTCTTTTTGCAGAGTCAGAGAGACGGCCTGGCCCAGAACGAGCAGAAACTAGAAGTGGGTAAACTTACTGACTTCACAGTTTCTTCCCTTTTGTTTTTATCCTCAGTTGCTGTCTCTACATGTCAGTTTCTTTCTCCTCTTCTTTCTTTTTTTATACTTATGTTCATGTGATTATAGCTGTACATGGTTGCACCATATTTTCACCATATTTGGGTTTGTTCTGCCCATAGAAGGCAGTGAAGTATTTAATATAAAATAATTTCAGCAAATGCAGTCTAGCTATCTCTTTTTTTTTTTTAATTCCTATGCATGAGACATGCATTACTGGTCTGGTAAGTGTAAACAAACACCAAGTTAAAAGTTACATTCGCATTAACTGCTTCATTTTCCAGCCTTTGCCAACAGGTCGTGAGCAGGTTCCTGTGTTCCACCTGATGTCGCATTTACAGAATAAATAAAAATAAAAGAAAAAAAAACACCAATCTCTTGAGTGTGCATCTTTTTTGCTTATGCACTGGCTTTCACAAATACATACTTATTGAGTGAAATAACCTAAGAAACTGGCTGAAACATATTCTCTAACACTTTACTAAAAACTTATATGCCTTAAAATTAGTTCTACTGTAGTTAACATGATTTAAACAATGAACATCTTTGCAACATCTATTATTCTTGGTTAATATTAAGACTGTTACTTCAAAATGTATTAACTAATGAACAATAGTATGTTTACAAATGATGATTAACAAATGCTTGTAAAAGATTGTTCATTGTTAGTTTATAATGCCAAATGTGTAGAATGTTTATTTCAATTAAATTTTTTAAACACAGTTCATCAACTATAAAGCATAGTATTTATAAGCATAGTTCATGCATTTATATATTGGTTTCAATTTTAAGTTTTCATTTGAACCCCTAAAGTCTGATTGCAAACTCTTAAGGATTAAAAAATAGTTGTCCTGGTATTACATCAGTGTAGTCCATACTTAATTTCCGTGTAAAACATTTGCCATGTATAGCTTTACATTGTAGTAGAACAAACATTAACCATATAAAAAGGTACAAACTTGTAATTTTTGTAGTTAAATTAGTCAAAATATGCATCTAACACGTCTATCTCGCAGACATTTATTATAGTTGAAAAATATTCTGGCGTAAATGAATGTTTAAATTTAAATCATGATTCGAAACTTTAGTTCTGAGATGCTTTTCTAATTCTTTACAAAAGTAAACAGTCTAGTGCTTAATTAGACTTGTAAGCAGGTTGAAGAGATTTAAAAAGTAACTTTTAAAACTTTACATGTTGGAACAGAGTAGCATTCCTAAACTTTGTGTCTGATGTCAATTAAATATTAATAGTTTAACAGTTGTTAGGAAACAAATGTCAAGAACTTAAGCCTTTGACGCAGTCACAGAGGCTAAATGTATTGATTCTAGAAGCTTTAGGATGTTGACTATGCTGTTTTGCATATATAAATGTTTAAAATGCTTCATATAACAGCGGACAATATTGTTTTAATGTATCTGTGCTCATTGTAAACGGTAACAGGTTATACATGTTTGAGTGAGATACTGAGAACTGAAACAAAGTGATGTTATAACAGTTTGTGTATCTGAACTAAATTGAAGCTACCGGTAATTAGATTTAATAAATTCCAAAAAGAGTTAGACTTGTTGCAGGTCTTAAAGAGCCTTATCTTCGAGAGAGAGATATATATATATATATATATATAAAGCTGAGGATCTCTGCAGCAACACAAAACAATGGAAACTATACACTAAAAAAAAAAAATCAAGGTTGTAAATAAAACTGATTATTAGAGTACATTTTACAAAAACAAAATACTATTTTAGTTATTTTGCTTCAAAATTTTATTACACGTTTAATTCTATATTTTTTTTTTCATTGTACATTGTTATTTTACTAATATACTGCCAGATCAATTTTTTTGCACTAACTAGCTTGTTTGCATGTTTTTATTTTAGGAATACAAGCGCAAACTGGCCCGGGTGTCCCAGGTACGGAAGGAGCTGCGGTCTCGTCTCAGCAGTCTCCCAGACCTCTCTCGGCTCCCTAATGTTACAGGTGGCCATGTCCGCCTGCCCTCCTCTGGCGATCTTTACAGCCCCTCTGATTGAGCTGGACTCTCACCCCATCACCACTCTCCTGGTCCTCTGGCTGTCAGTCTTTCTTGCTTCATTTTCTAACAGTTGACACCACCTGGCCACTGTACTAGTGGATGTGTCCAATATGCAGTCCATGGCTGCCTGAGTGTTTCAATGATGAGCTCTATCAATTGAATTCATCGTCCCTCTTTGTGATGAAGAAGTATTGTTCAAGTATAGACAATACATCCTCTTTTTCCTGGACGTCCTGGCTGGGATTTCTAAATTGCCTAAAATGTCTGGGTTTTGGATTTCGTTTGCTATTAACTTGCTGTCATTGAGCAGGCATTGCGCATAATTGACCAGTTGTGTCGTGCAAGAAGTTGCGGGATTGATAATGGTCAAAGCAATGCAAATAAACGTATATATAATTTATGAGGACTGTAAAGAGCACGTTAATAGGAAAACAAAGCCAAAATCTGGACATTTAGGTAGTTTAGACATCCCAGCCTGGACATGTTTGGGGGAAAAAAAAGGACATATGATCAACCAAGTTCAAGTGCATTGGAATCAATGCAGACATTTCAATGACAGTAGTTGTTCTTGAATAACAAGATGAGTCAGTAGAGGAACTTCTGATTTTTCCTCTTTTTATTGCTTTGTTTTGGAAGCTTCCACCAAAAGTTAAAATAGACCTACTCAACAAATAAACATCTGCAGTGGTAAATTACTTTACAAATAGACATTATATGGCAGTTTGGTTTGATAATACCCATCTGTTCTTCAGTCTGTAGGTTTCTCTCCAGCTTCTCTCTTACTCATTTGATCAGATCTCCAGATTTGTGGTGATGTTATTTTTGTATTTTTGCAGCGAATATTCATTTCAGTGCAGTATGTTATAATCAGCTGCAGTATTTTAGTGCGGCAGTCATATCAACGAAGCCCTTTTGCAAACTGAAGGTTACAAGTGCTGTATGTAGTTCTAAGAGCTTTGCAGTGAGCAAAGAGATGTTTTCCCTTTTGGGTTTGTGCTTACCAGCATACATTACTCCAACAGTAGAGTATACCTTATAATATTCAGATCCTCTTTAATATTCAGATTCAATCTCTTTAGGTTCATTTCATTGTAATTGACCGAGAAGTGAAACACGATATCACATGCCTCAAAAGGTCAATGGTCGTTCACACTATTGATCAAACAAATTCATATATGTTAGCTGTCATCTTTTCCCCCTTTTCATCTAGAGACAGTGCTGTGGTAAAGATTGCAAAATTGTCCCTATGGGTTTGTTGGTTTGAAGCATTAGCGTTTATGTGCGTTTTACTGTATGGTCTCGCTCTCATTGGTCATCTGTGATGAAAAGAATCAAACTACTAGTTAGAACCGTTTCCTTTGTAAGATCCGAAGGGGTCGTTCATTGTCTGTGAAGCCACAACTTTTAACTTATTTAGTTGCAAGTGTACATTTAAACATCAGCCTTTGTAATGTGTTGGTCTGAGCCAAATAAAGCTGAAGGCAAAGAATAAAAGTCTAGCTAGCACTGTGACAAGACGAATGTAACGCCCGTATTTATTAAGCTATTTATTATTATCGTTATTTTAGCATTTTCAATAGGTATAACCCATATTTTAAACTGCTGATAAAGAGTTAAATCAAATTAAGTAAAACCATGGTCAAAAATAATCCGGAGAAGTTCCATTTGGTCACGGACAACGGCGCAAAAATGTAGGCCTACACCATCACGTCTGAAAGGTAAATGAATTGCTTTCTTTATTTTCTTTCTTACTCTTAATTTATTGGTATTGTAAATGATTATTTTAACAAAATGTTGAGATTTTTTAAAACTGGAATTAGTTCTTGAGTGTTTTATAGGCTAAGGGCACAGTGAAACTTTTTGTTTCATTTACTTCTTCTTTTAATTACTTAGCATTGTGTCGGGTTTCAAAAGGGGCTCGTGGAGTGCAAATTTTGCACTGCGCCCCAATCCGGCTTAGAAATGAAAACAGGATTACATTAGTGTGGGTCATTCAGGGCAGCTGTGGTGCCTGAGTCGGTTATTTTCAGTGAATTGGCCGAACGGGTTTGCAAAACGGTCTGAATCGATTTGCGATTCGGTTCGATTCGTGCGGACAGCTCTTTTCTAACTGAATCATTTGGAGCTATTTCTCAGTATCCACATAGAACAAACCGAGATTAGACTAAATGTATTTTACGATACCTCAACTGAAACAAAAGGCTACTTTTGGTTATATTCTGCTCCTGTAAATTTCTTGTCACTGTGTAAATGATCAATATTTAAAAGTGAAGTGAAAATGTTTATGGCTATATTTATGGTTTATGTAGCTATTAGGCTATATAACACAGACATTTTTTTTAAAAGTTCAAATAGCATAACAAGAATAGCTGTGGTTATTAAGGCCTATATACAGTGGCGGCGTTTCACAAAACCATAGGGTATGGCAGTGGCGTAAATCACAGTTTTGATAAATAAAAAATCCAATGGCACACCACTAAGCACTGAAATATAGGAAAAAGGATAGAAATACAATGAAACACTGCGTCATCAGAGTTGGTATTGTGGCTTTATCAGACACTTAACATTTTATGAAAATCAAGATCAAATGGAGTTGGTTTTTGACCAGCGAATGACGGAGATCTGTGTTTTGTCAGTCATTAGAACGACTGTACCAGAATTAGTGCTATTTCGGTGAAAAGGGATTACAGAGAATGGTTGAATACACTCAAATTAAAATGCTACTTTTAAATGTTGCATTTTTTATTGATATATTTAATCCATATTTAAAATTAACAAAACATAAAACATTAATGGAGCATGCAAACAAGACATTAAGAACAATAGACTGAATGGGCGCTTAGATGAAAGAAAAAACCATATAGATAACGAGACCAGATAACGAGATTTTGTTTACCATCTGTAACAATTTTATATATTTAATACAATATTTATAACTGAACACGAATCAATTAACTATAAATTTCGTGACTATGGCACGTACTGCCTTGAGATCGAGCTGAAACAGAACAAAAGTAAAGGCCTATTGGCTACAACTAGACGGCAAAAGCACTCTTCTCCGCTCTTCAGACACACACAAAAAACTATATTAGCCTTTACAGACATGGTGTTTCTTGAGTAAAGAAAACGCTGCACTTATTCAAACATCAAGTACGGTAGCAGAGAAGTGCAAAGCAAATCACAATTCTGAAAACAAAAAACAAAATAAAAACACAACGGCAAATCCGAAAACAAATTAACAAGTCAGAAAACACAACGACAAATCAGACAAATCAGACAA